TAGTAGAATAATATTGATAAGGTAGAGTTTGGGGGGAACCACAGTACAGTTTTATGATTAAACCAGCTAGAAAATTAAAAAATATTTTGCGAGTTACTTTTTTATAGACATTTTTATTTCATAAATCTACCTAATTTTGAAGGCGCTCGTTGTTTTCCGGATTATTTTAATCAGATATATCAAGAAAGTGACTTCCGTTGACAAAACTGATGTCTGGATTAATGATTCAGAATTATTATAATATGAAATTAAATAGGCACTTATAGTTATATTCGAGGAGTGATTATGAATCCATTTGTAATTAGGTAGTTTGGTTAGGTTTTTATGTATTCTTGGTAGCGAATATGAAACCAAACGTAACGTAAGTGCTTAGCGACGAATTTTAAGTAACTAAAATCCAACGTAATATGACGTTGGTAATTGGTAGAATTACATTCCCTATTAGATCAGACACCGACGTCGAGGCGACCCGAATCTGTATTCCCCATTTAGGTGCAAATAAGGGTCGTCAGGCGGTCGAACCGACGTTGGTACCCGACGTCGGGTTTATTGAACGCGACGTATACTATTTTGGACGTTAGATAACGTCCAAATGCTACTTGGGAGGGTGTTATAGTCTTAATAATCTTTTAATTTATTATAATTTTCTTCCAAGTACTTTTATTGATTCGAATAAAATTTTGAGGGTAAAAGTTACTATAAGTGCTACATATTTTAATGCTATACAAGTATCGATAAATTCCTCAGGGACGTGCGTATGGGTTATCACTAGAATAGTTTTCCAAAAAAAAAACATGTGCGCCACTGACTTTTTGCTTTGGATATCAAAATTATGTAGGCCTTTTAATTCCAATTAAAAGTTATCTCTTGATATTTTGTCGAATTATGCCTCCTTGATGATATAAACGCAATTTTATTAATCACAATTAATAGAATTAAAATAAAAATAAAATTAATAAGTTATATATTTTGCCTCTAATCTATTATTAAATATTATTACTATTAGTTACTATTACTATTAATTACTATTACTATTAGTCAACCTACAGCAATTTCAAATAAAAAAATAATGGTATTTAAGATTGAAGGTAATTACAAATAACCTAATTTTAAAAAGTTTTAACATTCTGTAACTCTAAAACTATGCATTTCCATACCTATGTTTATAGGAACTTTTTTCCGTATTTTTTTGATGACAAATCAATGAGTAAGTACTTATTTAAAATTTTCGCAAGTTAATAATATTAATTTTTTTTAAAGGTTGCTAATAGACTTGGATCAAGGCAAATTAATAAAATTGCGTTTATCTCATCAAAAAAGCCGAAAACGACAAGATATCAAGAGACAACACTTTTAATCGGCATTAAACTGCTTACACTATGTCGCTAACAAGAGAAAAAAAGTCAGGGGCTACATGCTTTTTTAATAAAAATATATACAGACGTGTTATGATAACCCATATACACGTCCCTGGTGAATATGTCGATATTTTTTTAGCTTTAAATTATGTCGCATTTATAGTTTATAGTAACTTTTAACCCTCAAAATTTCATTCGAAACTGTAAAATCGCTATTTTTGGGGCTTACTCAACCGGGTCTCACAATGCAAATTCACCTCAAATATCCATTTAGTTGGTCATTGGCAAGCACTCTCTCATTGTACATGAAAATAACAAAACAAACATTTACTGATCTGGATAAAATTGATAGTTAAATAGTAAGACTCACCCGGGGGTACTCCGCCCCCTAGCCACTGATATATTCTATTCAATATATCCCATTCCATATTCTCCATCTAATTCAAATATCATTCGGTTATATATTGGTTAATCATCTTCAACAACTAGCTGGTGTCACCTGAAATAGTATAAGGGCTTCCCCCGGACGCAAATCTGCCGCTAAACAGATTCGCATCCCAATCGAATAGGCTCATTGGGGTACCTCCATAGACTTAAAATAAAATATAGACTGAGCATTTCATTCATAAATAGCTCGAACATGCGGTCAGACACTGTCTTGTTATTGTTGTGTTATTGTTTTAGGTTATAACGAGTGCGACACGAGCGATAGATAGATTGTCTCTGTCGTAACGGTCGTTCCCTGACGACTCTGCCGAGAAACACAACACTGTCTTTCGTTTCTCAAGTACACCTGAACTCTTCGTATCATAGCCGGGTAATTTTTTTATTTTAATGAAGCTATAATTAAATTAAAAATATATCGTATTGAAACTTTTTTATATTTTATTAAGATTTAAGACAGGTTTTTTAAATAAAAGTTTAGAAAAAACGTCTTAGAGTCCAAAAAGGATAAAAATATTAAAATACACGTCATAGAAGAAATTTTATAATCGAAATTACGTAATTTTTGAAATTAATAATAAATTATTAATTTTAGTCAAACATTTACAACCCCTAATATTAATCAAAACAGGATCTATTCCACAGATATAATAGAATCGGCGACAGGGAGAAAAAAAAAATATGATTGTTGTAATTTTATTTCTGGTTAAGTGATGTCTTATTATGTAAATTAGAGAAAACATAAACCTGTTCCATTAAAGCAAGGAAGGTGATAGAAAGTGGATAAAATGAAAACTACATTTATTTAACTCGGTACTGTCTTCATTATACCGGGTGCGTCCCAAAAGTGGCTCATCCCCATAATTTTTTTATATTTTCAAATAAAAAAAACAAGATTTAGTATGTTAGTATATAACATAAATTAGGATTGATTGACGCATTCAATTGTTTTTGGTCACTTCCTGTTTCACCGGAAATGACTATAACTTTTAATTTTTAAAGGGCACCCTTGGTATATTTCTACTTTATTCGATGGAAAATGACACTCTGAATAGAATGACATATATCATATGTCAACTTTTGACATTTTTGCATATGGTTTAATTGTAATTGTAACACGCGGTTCATAACGACAATTTGACTCGAAATACCAAGTGTGTGGTATCAATATATTCATAAAAAAATGCTTTTTCCAAATATGCTAATGAGTCACCCTTGTTCCATTTGAAAAAATTGACACATGTATGATTAAAAATATGATTTGTACATCTTTTAATCGGCCTAGACAAGACACGAAACCCATTAGACGATCAAAACTATTTTTCCAAGGCTCCTTGATTAAAACTTAGTGTTTTTAACAACACCATGGCACCCTGGATTGAAATTTATAATACGATTTGTTTTTAAGCGACAATGTCAAAAGTTGACATATGATATGTCATTCTATTCAGAATTCTATTATCATTTTCTATCGAATAAAGTAGAAATATACCGAGGGTGCCTTTAAAAATCAAAAGATGTAATCATTTCGGTGAAACAGAAAGAGACCAAAAACAATTGAATACGTCAATAAATCCTAATTTATGTCATATACCTACTAACATACAAATCTGTTTTTTTATCTGAAAAAATAAAAAAGTTATAGCGGTGAACCACTTTTGAGACGACCCGGTATATTAAAAAATATTGTCTCATAATGTAATATCATATTAAAATTCTTGTATGTTATTTTAGATTCTGAAGATAATTTTAGAATAAACCGGAATATATTTTTAATAAAAACATTATTAATTATTAACAGGGTTATAATTATGATTTTGTTACAATGTAAGTAAGTAAATAATGTAATATAAGAGAAAAAATTCAGATTTTACATTTTACTAAAATATTATCTAAATAAGCGCCTTTCTACAACAACGCCACTGACTCCCAATGGGTAAATTGAGAGTTGCCTACCGGTCAAAAGTCGTTTCAAGACTTAAATGGATTATTTAAGTCAAATTTCTTGCAAATTTGGCACTGGCGAACCATATTTTATAGTTCTTGAACAGAAAAAGTCAATAAAATAAACACTTAAGCACTACAAGCTAAGAAAATGCGTTAATACAGCCGGGGAGATAGCGGCAACAAAGCTTTACCGCACACGTGCGACACGTACTACAAGGTAATAAATGAATGAATAGGCTCCCTCGCCTCTAATCGGTGTTGTCATATTGTAAAGAACTTATCCTTTTTAAACAGTATCCGACTTATAATTTAGTAGTATAAGGACTATTTAATACATCTCTGGAATATTAAAACCTACTTTATTAAACTGTAGTATTAATATCTCAATATATGTGTATAACAAGAAAAAAAATATTGATAATATTAAAGACGTGACAACATAGGCTGGATGAGGAAGGCTCGGTCGACTGTACCCAGAAGTAAACATGTGTACAAAAAATATTGTCTGTCCGCGTTGAGATGTAAATAGTGTAGTCTATATTTTATTTTAAGTCTATGGGTACCTCACTCAGGCCTGACCTCACTACCCCAACGCCGCATCGTGTCAATCGAGAAGACAAGGGAGACCTCAAACTCGCAAGACCAACCTCGAAGGTAAGACGTCACAAGAGGTTTTCTTCTGGTCAAACGACCCGTTGCCTTACAGTACATGCAACGTTTATAGTCAAAAGACACAACAGCCGGCCGGCCTATCAACTACTGACTCGCCTCCGGCAAGCTAAGCCTCCTCTTACATCACAATTTTACCGGATCGTAAATATTTACATTACTTGCCAATGAATCATACTATTTTCTCTAATCGACTTTCAAATAGAGTGTTTTAGCATTACTAGATAAATAAATAGAGAGTTTCCGAATTATAAAACCATTATTATAACCAACTTATTTTCCAAGTTTTACAAAACGCTAAAAGTACTTGGAAGAAAATTATAATAAATCGAAAAATATTAAGATTTTAACACCCTGTAGCTACGAAACAAAGCAGAATCGGACCTATGTTGATGTGAAAAATAAATCTTATTTTTACGTGAGAAATATCCCTACGAGAAATGGCACATGTTTTTTGAAATACCCTGTAGATGCTAAAAGTACAATCATTATTCAAAGATATTTAAAAAAAAAGTTTAGTGTTATCAGAGTACGTTGACACGTCGGACGGAACAGGCAGTACCTCAGTTTCAATTGCCGGTTTAAATTAAGAGAAGTTCGACTGGTACGACGCATTTAGTCCTCAGACAACGTGATTATTCGCTCGCAGGCTACTTAACTGTTAGTATTCCATACAGGATATACATTTAATTTGTGTGAACCTTACTTTAAAAAGTACTACTCATTTGTGATCATATCGGTGAGTTAAAATATAATATATTAAAACATAATTAAATAACTTAAAATGATCCTAAACAAGGTGTAGGAATTTTAAATTTTAAAGTTCTTTAAAATAACAAGCCTTCATTCTGTTATTTTTTTTTGTATTTCATGTGCTGAATTCTTCATTTTTACATTTTTTTGTTTACCATTTATTTGATTTATTAGTATTAGTGAAATATTCTAAATACATTGGGACGTTCAAATCAGTAAGACTACTGTTACCCTTTTTATAAGCCCGTAAATTCTTAAAAAACGGTTTTTTATTATTAATTACAAATAATGTTTTGAATAAGTGCTGTTGTGTGTAATTGTTAACAACTTATATATGATTTAAAAATACCCAATCGTTTATAAACGTTTCAGAGTTTCTTCACTTGGTACTTCACTTTATTTGTAAAAACTTCTTGATAAGAAAATAGATTTTCTCGTTTCCATTAGGTACCTAATATAACCCCCTAAATCTTTTTGCATTTATTTAAAATTCACCTTGTATAATATAATTCTGTAATTAATCTGATATACAGCATATTTCCATATCTAATTTAGCATAATAACTAATTGACACTCATTATATTAGAACAATTTTATTAATATTAAAACCGGTACACTGTAGACAGTTTGTGACGTCAAGAGATGTAACATAAACAATCTAGCAGGCGCCAATCATATTTACTATGGAACATTTTTACAAACAAAATTTGCGATGTATATGGGATTTTTTCTTAATTTCCTCTCAGGAACACTGCATAGCAATATTGAAAAATAGTGGAGTAAAAACTATATCAAAATGTGTCAAATTTTTTTTTGGAGGTATAACTACATGATATCTATACAGGATTATCAGTTAGGGCTTTCTGCATGTGAAATGACTAATTACGACCTTTTTGAGGGAGTCACAAATTTTTTATCCAGCAAAATGTCAAAAATCTGTCAAAAATGTATAACCATGTTTTTTTACCTTTCGTACGCGATAACTCCTAAACTAATCAACTTATTCACAAACTCTTTTTTTTAATTGATGGAGAACACATAGGCGGTGATAGCTGAGGTAATTAAAATTCCATAGTGAGAGTATTTTTTTTTTGGAAAATGGATTAAACTTCAAACATTAACTTTATTGTATCATAATTTTCGGTAAGCGAGAAACTTTTTTATTTGAAGGAATTTTTACATAGTATCTGCGTATGAAATAAAGTAAAAATATTTAAAAAGTTTTTAAAACTTGGTACAATCTTCTAATGCTAATACTTTTCTAGTTATCTTAAATTAAATTTACGAATAGGCCGCGCGCGAGACCACTCGTGCCTCGCCGCCCAGGACTGCTTTAAAAAGTATTTTCTATATTTGACCTTTGTTTCCATCCGGCGTAAATCAACGCCTATAATAATTTGCTTAGGTTTACTGTAAATTATTTTTTTTTCTTATTATTTTCCATTATTATTTTTTAATTTTAAGTATTATTTTAAGTATCCGGATTATTTTAAAATTTGAAAGTTATAAAAATGAAAAAAAACTATTTTTTGGTTAAATTTTGAGAACCACTGGATCTTCTCTGGGTTTTCTTTCTTGAAAATTTAATTTACTACCTACCTATGTTACTATATTATCAAGTTATTATGTTTTTAACTTAAAATTAAAAAAAATCAAAAAAAAATGCCAAAAAACACATACACGTATTTTTGGGGTTGAAATATCATCATCATCATTTTCAACTTATTCAACAATTTCCAATTATGGTGTAGCCTCCCTCACATACTCTCTTTTTAGATGGGTCCACTGTTGTCTATTGTTGGCTATGCTGACCCAAGTTATACCTGCTAATTTCCTAATATCATGGTCCCATCTCAGGGTTCGGTCTTCGCCTAGGTCTCTTAATTCCTCGTGAGTACCATGCTGTAATTTTTGTGGTCCATCTGTTCTCTGTTCTTCTTGCCAGGTGTCCTCCCCATTGCCATTTGAGGGATTTGACTCTGTGGATAACATCTATTACCTGGATCTTTTGTCGTATCAACTATATTCTTTTAGGGTCTCTCTTGGTTATTCCCGGCATAATTTCGTTCCATTGAGCGTTGTGCGACCTGCAGTTTCCTTATGATGTCCGTTTTAAGTGTCCAGGTTTCGCATGCATAGGTCATGACTGCTAGTACACAGTGGTCAAATGTTTTCTTCTAGATTTGAATATGATTGAGTTTTTTCCATAAGTACTCTATGCTAACTTAATCCTTCTGTTCATTTCTGAAGTGTAGTGATCTGGAAAAAAGCAAAATATTGGTAGTAGAGATCGAAATATAGTGCCCCTAAAAATATTTGCATTTATTTAGGACTCTAAGTTGCCTATCCTGTGTTTCTAATTGCTTTGTCTAATTATTATTTAACGTTATTGTGTGTGTGTGACGTTATAGTATTGAACTAATATTTTTTGACCTCGTACTTTTGAAAATTAACGATATCGAAAATATGTTGTTGGAATTAATTGTTTTAATTCAAAAACAAAAAGACTGTATCGGTATAAACATGTTTGTCAAAATTGTCTTTATTTTGACCCTGCATTTTCAATTTTGCACTATGAAAAATTATATGAATATATAGAATACTTATATACAATGTATTACCGAATGAAAACAATGTGTTCAATTAGGCAAGAAATATATTTCAGATGTTCTTGATAGTAAACAGCGAGAGCTATAAATCATTAAAATATTTTGTATATAAAGAAAAGATCCATAAAAATGTTGAATTATGTATATTTATATTGTAGTTTTATTGTTTAACAAGATTTGTAATAACTCGATATTAGCTTTGTCACTGTCAAGAACTTCAATCATATCTTTAGCCAATGGCAAAGTTTACAGAATAATCAGCAAACTTTGTCATTGGCTAACATTACGTTAGGTTGCTGGGTTTGGGATCCTGTTTGATTTCTCACTCTATGGTAACCTTGGGTCCATTGCAATACCCCTGTTATTATTGTACTAAACCTTCCTCTCATTCTTTCTTTGCGTTAAAGCACTTCCAGCTCTTTGCAAAGTTCCCGATGTCGCTGATATCGGTTTCTGCTGCTTCTTCTAGTCCTTCCAAAAAATCTTACTCTAAAGTTTTAAAGCGTCAATATTCCAGTGCCGGACAGTTGCGCACCAGATGCTCTATGGTTTCTTCTTCCTCCCTCCCCGCATTCTCTGCAGTAGTCGACATTGGAAATGTTCTATCTCACGAGGTTTGCTCCCGTGGGGCAATTCCCAGTGATGGCATCTACAATTATACATACTAGGTTTTGTGCCCTAGTAGTTTTGTCTTTTTGCTGTCTACCACTGGCCACAGTCTTTGAACTGTAGCGCAGTCCTCACGGTGTTGCCACGCCTCTTCCTTCAGTGTTGATCGTCACAAGTGGTACTTCACAATCGTCACAATCTGCCACGGCCTCTCCCCTGGCTTACTCTTTGGCGAGTGTGTCCGCTTTTTGGTTTTCCACTACATTGCTGTGGGCGTATAGTGTATAAATATGACTAGACATAATAAAACGTCCTTTAACGTCATTGGATCATACGATATTTCAATTTATTAAGATATGCAGATGATACGGCAATACTAGCACGAACTTTAGAGGATCTCCAGCAAATAATAAATAAGATAGGGGACATGGGAAATCGTTTCGGTCTTAAAATCAACGCTGCCAAGACCAAACTTATGGTAATAGGACGCCAGCCTACAATCAACACCGCATTGACCGTGGATGGAAATATTATAGAGCGAGTTCCACGATTTACATATCTGGGTGCCATGATCAATGAACGATGGGACTGCGATGAGAAAGTTAAACTTAGAACGAATTATGCAAAGTCGACATTTTTTAAACTTAAAAACTTCCTATTAGCACACAGTCTCCCGCTAACACTTAGACTACGGGTAGTGAAATGCTACATATGGCCCATCTTACTATACGGCGCAGAAACCTGGTCACTCAAGGCGAGAACCCTGAACCGCATCGAGGCTTTCGAAATGTGGACTCTCCGGAGACTCTTACGTGTGCCATGGACCGCACATGCCACCAACGAAGAAGTTTTAAGAACTGCAGGCTATGAACGAGAAATGCTTAACATAGTTAAAGAAAGGAAAGTCTCATACCTCGGCCATATCCTTAGAGAGACAAATATTACATTCCTAAGCTGATTCTACAAGGAAAAATAGAGGGACGGCGAGGCCCAGGAAGAAAACAACATTCCTGGCTAAGAAACATACGGGATTGGTGTAACATCAGCGACGCAGCCACCATATTTCGAAGAGCCGAAAACGGCACTCTACACATTGTATGAAGAGTACAGACAATCGCCAACGTGCGACTAAGCACAAGGCACAGGAAGAAGAAGAAGAAATTGGGTGGACCAAATAATCTCACAAATTTAGACTTAACAATTATAAAACATCTTGAATTCAGTTTTAATTTATTGCATGGAACGAACATTATATAATCGAATGCTTTTGAAAATAATTAAAAATATATTTTTAGAATGGCGTGATGCTTTATCAGTAGGAGTAAAAATATAGCGACAAATATATGATATTTTTGCCGTTTAATTTTGCAAAATAAATGCAATGGAAATTTTGTTTATAAATATTATTATATATATTTTTTTAAATATACTTAAGGATGCAGTATTTTTTACAGTGATTTTCTAAAATAATATATCGAGTTTGTAAAGTTCAAGAACAAAGTTCAACAACCTATTGTATGTATGCACGTAGGCAACTGTAGTGTCCTGTCTGTAGAAAATGCATTTGAAATGATGAAAACAAGTTAATAATATAGCATATCTCTCAGACATGTATCTTTGTTTTGTTATGTTGTTAGTTAGAAGGTATTGCAACAACAAACATAGTTATTGGTGAAAAAAAAATGAAATTGTAGAAATTTGAAGGAAAATAATTTATCAAAAAAATAATAAAAAACTTTAAGAAAATATAATATTTAAATACTGTTTGAATTATTTTTAAAGGTCTGTTTTTTTAAAAGTGATTTTCCATTTTATCGGTTTATACTATACAGGGTGTCCCAATATTCCGTGTATTTTGTAGTGCCTATGTTTTGCTAAGTGCTTTAATATTTGACTTCCAAAAAAATCTTTATGCGCCTGCATAACTTCATGAGACAAGAAGCATTTTTGTAAGTCAGCTTCGAAAAACATTTATTTTCCTCAAAAAGTATGCTCGGTGGAGTTTTTTTTTATAATAAACAAAAAATTTATAAAAACAAGAAGGACCAAGGAAAATTTTACGGAAAAAAATCGGTCATCTATGCAGTTGGAAAATACTTCTACTAACATCTATGTAGGGGTCGAGATAGTTTTCACTCTTCCCGTACTTTTTCTTTTTCTTGATTTCTTCCCAATAACCACACCAAATTATCTGTCCACTGTATATTGGGACACCTTGTATACAGTCACACTGGCGTGATGTTTATACGTCATTAAGACCTAATATTGTGCCAATTGTGTATTTTACATTTTATATGTTACATAGTTTTTCAAATAAATTTAGAGATTTTCGGTGGTAACTTTCTATTTTTATTCTCTTTTTTTAAATGAGAACTAAGACAATTAAAACATTATATTTTTTTCACTTTCAGTAACTCCTAAAAAGGTCACTTTCTAATATACTTACTTAAAATATCCGTCATTAAGAATATTTATCAAGTAGAGAGATTCAGAGTAACAGTTTTTTTTTCTATTCTAAAAAAATAAATATTACTTTGTTATCTATCAAAATAAAATTGGGTTACTAAAATAAGGAAAGCACACAACTGAGAACCAAAAATAACATTAAAATACTTAGCTTATACAGGGTAAGACTTAAAATAAGTGCAAATATTTTAACGGTGGTATATAAGTATATTTCGACCACAGAAACAGATTAGTATGTGCTTTTTTGCAAAAAAAAAGGAAATTCTTAATTTTTTTGAAAAAAAAATTATTATAATTCTTAGTCAAAAAAAATAATATATTGAGAATATGTCAACATACGTCGTAGATTAAATTTAGGGGAATTAAAACCCAGAAAAAACAATGGTTTTCAAAATTCAAGGCAAGAATTTTTTTTTAATTTTCTTAGTGAAATATCTCCGTTATTTTAAATTTATTTGAAAAATGGTAAAAAGAATCTGTTTCTTTTATACAGAAATACCAACCCCGAAAATATTTACACTTATTTGATTCACTCTGTGTAAATAATATAACCGAATTACATTTTTGAAATAAGAAAATAAATAAACATTACATAATAAAAACTGTTAATTATTTTTGTAGTATTTACTATTTACGTAATGAATCATCATTATGCATCCATTAAGGTTAAATAATATGCTTAATGAATATCCTTATTTTAAGTTTAACAAAGGTCATTTCTCACATTAATTCATCTTAATAATCATCAGACATGATAAGCGCACTGAAAACTGTTTTAATCTAACTGTGACGAAAAGGAGACAAAATACAGAACCTTACAAAACATAATTCAATAATTATCAAAGGTTAAAAACCTTTGTCCCCCAGAAAAAAAAAGTCTGTGAGTGTATAACTTGTATAGTTGATAAGAATGAAAATATGTTGTGAGAACAAATAACATCATATCTCTTGATCTTTATAATGATTTATATGAATTTTATCTTTATTAATCTTAAAAAGTATATTTTTCAAATATTTTTTGAGAATTTTTAAAAAAATTAAAGGTTAAATGAATTGGTCAAAGTGCAATCTCATTTATATATCCTATTTATAGATAAAATATGTCTATTGTTAACCATAATTAAGATGTTTTTAATGGATAAAGATGTTTTTTTTATAACATTACTTGAAACAGGTACATTTTAATAGTTTCGCGCCTCGTTTGTGTGTTGAAATAGTCACAAAAATGACTTGAAATTTTAGTTATTTGCCAGTAATAAAAATGTATAACTTTTTTTACCATTCCAGAAAAGAAATCTAGAAATTAATAACAATTTTAATTGTTTGTTATTTTTTTAGAAATGGCATCCAATCAAGAAACCCCCGCACCTGTCGTAGCAGAGGCAGCTTCTCCAACATGCATGGAATCTGTCAACAGGATTGCCAAGCTTCCAGCTGTTGAACAAACCATCCAAACTGTTCATGGAATTTATGAAAAAGTGAAGGTACACAACCTAAGTTACCTAAGTCGTTATATTTAAGAACCCATTTCACTAGTCCGAAAAAGTAGCAAAATAAGCGTTCGGCATTTAACGTTTACACAGGGTATTTTTACATAAATGAAGAAGGAAATTAAAGATAAAGGATTATACTATATCCGTATTGTAGCATATTTTGAGACAACTTCTTTATTTTTAAGATTTTGATGGTCAAACATCAACAAAATATTCCTTATGTTTGGACTAAATTTTCTCGAAAATAAAATCGTAATTTAAAATTCCGTTACAATACGGAAATAGATTAAAGTTTTGTGATTACAGTGATATATAATTTATATAGTTTTGTAACAAATTGCTTGCTGTTTTAAAGCAAATGCTGAAGCTCTGCAAACCCTAATCAAGCCTTAATCCAAGCACGTGTGTTTGGAATTTTGGGTGTGGCTTAACACGACAGGATCTGGCTAAGCCTTAGACATATTTCTGAAATATATATTTCCTTTGGTCACACACCCCTGAGAGCGACCCTAAGAGTACAGAGTAAAAGACCAAACCAAACTTACTGTAAATCACTATAAATAATGAATTGTTTGTAATTTAGCTGTAATTTCGGTATTATGAATCCGGTAAATGATGGAGATAATCAATTGTGATTGATTAAAATTTGATTTTAAGATGAAACTTTTGTTAACAACATTCTGAGAATTCGAATGATTCGAATAATGAATTGAATAATGACAAGACAAGTGACATCTGTCTAAAAAAGACAGCTATTTAGAGTGACAATTTGGTTATATGAAATTTAGAGTGATAATTTTGATTAAGCAAAAGAAATACTGGTTGCCTGACGATTAACATTAATTTAAAAATAAATCCCCAACATGAATAATGAACGAAACATTAAAAAAAACACAGACTACAGGCTACACAGACTGAACACAGACTACCACAGACTACACAAAACAAATTAGGCGCATTCAGTACACACACCGGTTAGTCCACCAGTGTACAAAATTAAAGTGAATGCCAATGGTAACTCACCGGTAGTGGTCACTGATCACTTGAGAGCTTACCGTATTTTGTGTCCGGTTTATGTACATACCGGTCGGCGCAGTTTGTCATAATTGTCATCTGTCACATATTTTGTTGTCTCGATCGTTCAATAAAATGTTATCGGTAGGTCTTTACCGGTTGATACCGGTGTGTTTCCTGAATCCGTCCATTGTTGGTTAGTAGCAGTAGTCAAAGACTAAAATCCATCAAATGCACATTCCCAGACATGCCGCCGGCGCCGCCATCTAGCCAAGATGGCGCTCAAAATCGGTATTTTGTAAATATCTCGAAAACTATGCGTTTTTCACAAAAATTTGAAGAGAGCAAAATTAAAGAGAATAATATAATTTCCTATAAAAAGGGTTATATGAAAATGTTCGCTAAAGTCAACTGTTTAGGCACAAAATCCCTGGAATTTTTACAATTTTGCGTAAAGTATGATATACATAATATAGTCGATTTTCCGAAATCAAATGTCGATTAGTGTTCACTAAAACTAGTTTTAGTTTAGTTTCTTCAATTTTGTCATGAAACAGTGGCGTATCATTAATTCGCCCATTCATTTATGAATAATTAATTGTCGTGCTGGACAGCATCCATTGCGAACTTACCACCAGGTTCAGCATTGGTCTGGTTGTACCAAAGATGCCGAAGAATGGGGTTGGAAGAAAACAATAACAGGCATTACTCCAGTCACAACGTTGAAAGATCCAGCTCCAAAATCCCTATTGGCATCTTTATCCTGTAAATGCAAAACCAACAACTATGGTAAAGCCTGCGGATGCAGAAAAACAGGATTAAAATGTTCAACGATTTGTGCATACTGCAATGAGAAATCCTGTGCCAGCGTTACTGAAGTGTCACTCGACGAATCTGATGAAGAGGAGTTGGACTTGCCTGTAGATATCCCTCTGGCGGCTGAAGATGGTTGGACGTATTGAGAGACCACCCTGATGAGCCCAGCATAGCAGACACGATCGACTTTGACATCACTGAGCCAGATCCGTCGGTCTTGTGCCGATAAGTTAAAGTTTTTAATTTATCTAGTGGAGTAGGCCTCCGGGGAGACCACGTTAAAATAAACGCGCCATGTACTTTACCACTTGGGTGGTGTGGAAACAAGTACAGATTTTCAATAATTAAAATTAATTATTCATAAATTAATGAGCGAATTAATGATACGCCACTGTTTTATGACAAAATTGAAGAAACTAATCTAAAACTAGTTTTAGTGAACCCTAATCGACATTTGATTTCGGAAAATCGACTATACATAATATATCATATTTTACGCAAAATTGTAAAATTTCCAGGGATTTTGTACCTAAACGGTTGACTTTAGCGAAAATTTTCATAAAACCTTTTTTATAAAAAAATTTATTATCTTTAATTTTGCTCTCTTTCTTAAATTTTCGCGAAAAACGCATAGTTTTCGAGATATTTACAAAATACCGATTTTGGGCGCCATCTTGGCAAGATGGCGGCAAGTCTGGAAATGTGCATTTTATGGATTTTAGTTAGGGACCCCAAACCGGACTTTTTTCCAAGCAAAAATCCACAATGACTGAACTATTAGTATTTTGATTTAATGGACACAGCTATCCGGCCGGGTAATAGAATTATCGTTTTTTAATAAAACTTAAAAGAAACGTAAAGCTAGAATAGTATACGGTTTTATATTAATTCTAATTTTATAAAAAGCATTCATAAAAAAAATATATCCTTCAAGTCCTCCAATTTAATAGCTGTTAGTAAGAAGTTTCACTTCAAATATGCGCACATAGACAATTTTTTTATAGTCAAAAAACATCCAATAACTATAGCTGTTTCAAATATGAACTTACTAATGGTTTTGTAAATTTAGGACTTCAACAGTGTCACGAACTGGACCCTGCAAACCGCTGAAGACACCGTCCACAAGGCTGTCGAAGTGGGCAAGCCTTACGCCACACCTGTCATCGAAAAATTGGAAGGCCCTATAAAGAAAGTGGACGGTGTATTATGTTCTGGATTGGACTACGTTGAAAACAAAGTTCCTGCTGTAAAATTGCCACCTAAAGAGGTTTGTATGATTATGCATATAGAAATGCTTGCCGTCATTGCATTGCTGCTTCTCTTCTATTTTCGTTGTGTCAAAAGCAGGAGAAAAACCATGGCAATATGGACTCACAAGCAATTTGAATTATTAGTAAAACGTACTTAGACAGTGCAGAAGAAATGCTTGCTATCATTGCATTGTTGCTTCTTTTGGATTTTATTTGTCTTAAAAGCAGGAGATAAAGGTTCAATATACAGTATATCCCCGGATTGTCTTTATAAGAGAAAAACCTTTTTTATTATTGACATTTTGAGATAAGTGCATTCTTCATAATTTTTGCTTTGCTTGTTATAAAATGGTTATTCTTTTTCAAATTTCCATACCGTTTTGGAGAAAATTAAGAAAAATATGAAAATATTTTAAGTCCCAAAAATGTAAACGCGTTTGTATGGTAATATAATTTAGTTTTTATTCTTTGACAGATTATTATTCATAGAATTTTAATTAATGTCATATTTTGGTTGTTTTAAAATGTTAAAGAAGCACAAAATTTATTTAGTCAATGCTACGGAAAGGGTGGTCAGTCAAGAAAGTCCAGTTGACTGAAGAGTTCTTCTAATGTTGCTGTAAACAGCTTTGGGAATATCGCGTACTCCTTTGCGAGTTGGGAACTCTGGGTTTGTAGTAATAAAGTAATAATCTAAAAATATTTGTATTTGTACTGTATCTGAAATCAAAGTAAAAAATCGGTGACAAAATTACAAATTTTATTTGACACTCAAAAGTAAAAAATCAGTCATGACATTGCGACGAACATTTGTAAAAGAATCATTTTGATAAAGCGCACGCCAACTTTCATTGATTTTCCTATACATATATTGTCATTGTGGTATCTGTCCGTTCTTCATCTTCAAATTTACACATTTTCGCTTTTACTATCACCATCATCATCCTAAACAACTGCTTCCTAAACAGCTCATTCTGCAGATCTACAACACCACCAAAGACTACGTCAGCAGCCATGTCAGTCCTGCAGTGGAAACAGCCAAACACATCGCAGAACCAGCCGTCAATACAGCCAAAGGCCTAATCGAACCTGTTGTAGAGAATGTGAGACACAAGGTATAAATTAGTTGTTTGTTTTCTGTAAAATCAAATTCTTTTTAATTATATTACAAAGTATCTAGTTTCTTTCTAGAATGTTTTTGCTTTGTTAAATATGTATCCTATGCTCGAAAAAAAAAACGACGTCAAAGACGGCTGAGGAATGACAATTGATGATAATTCTGGCAAGGTCCATTTTTAGACATTATCTTTATTTTCTAAAAGCCGACATAAAACCTAACAGTAATTATCGAAAGATTACTTACTACATTTAATTTTCCTTAATGTATTACAGTAATGATATACAAGGTAGTCCACTGTATTCCGGACACTTTGCCAGCATATTAGATAAAAGTAAGAAAAAAAGTTCGTGCAAACTTATATCCTAAAATGCTTCATTTTGGAGATACAGGGTGTAGTTTATTTTTATTTCGATTTTTTCCTAATAATTTCTGAACTAAATTCGGTATTTGGATGAAAATTAGTATCTGGGGCTTTTTAACATGAAAAATTTGATTTCGATGTCAATATCACTCCTTAAAGGCCGTTCCTGTATTACACTACTGAGTGAAAAAATATACATTTCCGTAATTTTTTACGTAAAAAATATCTCTTGGTAAAATTCGATACGAGCAACTGCTTTCAAGATATTTGAAATGGAAATAGTCAATACATATCATTATTGAGAAAAAATAAGTATGATAGTTATTTGACTGATCTGGAAAAAAATACGATAAAACAGTTTTGTTAAATCTTTGGCAAACTAAAATATTTCAAATTTATTATTTCGGACTAATAAAATTATCCAGCCTTTATAATTTTCGTTATTTATGACAGGTGATGTATTGACTATTTCGTTTTCAGATATCTTGAGAACCATGAATCGTAGTGATTTTTACCTCGAAACCTTTTTTATATACAAAGAAAATGACGGAAATGTATATTTTTTCACTCGGTAGTAATATAGTAATACAGGTACGGATGAAAAGTTATTACTCTTCAAAACAGCTAAATAATATGTAGGTGGCGCCCCCAACAAGTAGGAGTCATACTGACATCAAAATCGAATTTCTCATGCCAAAAAACACCGACACACCAATTTTCATCCAAATATCGGGATTAGCTCAGAAATTAGTTGGAAAAAATCGAAATAAAAATAAAACTTGTACACCCTGTATCTCCGAAACGAAGTATTTTAGGACATGAGTTTATAAGAAATGTTTTACATATTTTTATGTGCTGCCATATGCTGCCGAAGTTTCCGGAATACAATTCGGACCACCCTGTATTTTAATATTGTATTTCTAAAACAGTAATGAAGAAGCAAAAGAAAAAACACTAAATCAATGTTACCATTTTTTCTTATAGGTGGACGAATACTTACACAAAAATCCAGAACAACCTGAATCAGAGCAAGACAATAAGCCCAGCGAACCCAAAGAAAAACCGGCGCCTAAACCTTCTAAGTGAGTATACCGGGTGCGTCTCAAAAGTGGCCCACCCCTATAATTTTTTCATTTTTTCATAGAAAAAAACGAGATTTGGTATGTTAATTTATGACATAAATTAGGATTGATTGACGTGTTCAGTTTTTTTCGGTCACTTCCTGTTTCACGGGAAATGACTACAACTTTTGATTTTTAAACGGCACCCTCGGAATTTTTTTCTTTATTCTATAGAAAATGACACTCTGAATAGAATGACATATCATATGTAAATTAAAAAAACATCATATTTTAAATTTCAATCTACGAGTGCCATGGCTGTGCTAAAAACACTAATTTTTAATCAAGGAGCCTTGGAAAAATAGATTTGATGGTCTAACATTTTTAGTGCCTTGTTCTGGCCGGTTAAAAGACGCCCAAATCGTATTTATAATCATATCTGAATTTTTTCAAATAGAACGAAGGTGCAAATAAAGCATTCTTTTACTAATATTTTGGTACCACACACTTGCCATTTCAAGTCAAATTGTCGTTATGAACCGCATGTTACAATTTCAAATGTCGTATTTGGGCCGTTTAGTAACTCTGATCTGTTTCTAAAGGTGCCCATTCACATACAGTTTGTAGGCAGTTCTAGGACTGTAAGATCTGAACTGAAGATCTAAACTTTGTCAGGCCACACACAATGCAGTTACGTCGGACGATGCGATCTTCAGTTTTGGGACTGTCAGTTTTAGAACTGCAGGAAAACTGTGCTCTTACCACACACACAAACAAAAGTTTCTGAGTGAAAGATTGGTTGTTACTAAGATCTATAAACTTCTATAGAAACTCCTTGGGTTCACTCTATAGATCTTGGGTTGTTACAACATGATACATTATATATCATATGAAGTTAGTGCGAAAATTAAGAACTTGTTTAACAGATGTAACTTATAAACTCCCTCAGAATAGATAACACATTTTTTCACGACCTTTTAAAGATGCTTAAGACCTTAATATCAAAGAAAAATATAAAAAAGCTTCACATGAACGCTTCGATTCTCGCACTTTTTTAAGTTCCTTTCGGAAAGTACTTTTTGTAAGCAACTGGTTTATTTTTTTTTCTTTACAGAATCAATAGTAGCATTTGTACCAACAATTTTATAACATTCCAGCAATGTTTCATAAGCTTTAGTTTTTTCTGTCTGTTTGTCTAACCTTTACTTTTAATTTTCCACAGACTGCCTATACAAATCAATAAAATCGGTTAAAAAAATGGTATTATTACTTAAATCGCTCATCTTGATAATACAAAACTTCCAACTTGTCAAAATATGGGAACGTACAATCATCGTACGATTAGAACTGTCTATTTTTCGCTATACACTTCATAATATAAGATACCACCTATTTTCCTCCCAACAAAATATTCCTAATATTCCTGTATCCACTTTTTCCGACACACTGCCCCCTCCATGGAAGGATCCTATTTCGCGGTTAATATGGAACTTTGTAAATTAAAAAAATCTGAAACACAGATCAATCAGATTGTAGCGTTTTTTAAACAACTACCACTGCGAACGGCAGCTTTTCATAGGAGAGCAGTCGTGGATATGGTATTTCACTGGAAAGAAAACTAATTAATAACAATAATCAAAAAAAAGTAGATATTGGGCGCCAGGCATGTACAGAGAAAGAAAACACAGTTGTATATTACTTAAAACTAATGACTATATTTATTCATGATGAACTGTGATGGTAAATAGCATTGTACAATTTTAATAATTATTATAGTGGTTATATGTCAACGAAAGTGGTGTTAAGAATTGTACTAAATATCTATGAAAACAACTATGATAAAATACAAGACATGTAAAGTTTAAGAGAATATATGAAATGTAGCATTACTTTAATTAATTTGATACATTTTATATGATGTTAGTGTAATATAGTGAAACCTAAAATCTAAATCACATTGTAACTATTAAATCGACATAAATGTTCTTAATAATCTAACCACTAAATATAGTCTGTACAATATTATTTAAAATGTACGTTACTGTTTAAGACTGAAAATATAGAAAATCTAAAACATAAAAACTAGAACTAAATCTACACTTAGCTGTTCTTGAGGCAATCCTGTTTCAAAGAGTAGCAGCGTGAGGTGGGCTCATATCTCTGTACTGTCTGTCGGCGATCCTGTTGGCCAAAACAACAAAAGGGGCCAGAATGAGGACACCATGAATCAATACAGCCATAGATACTGACTAGGCTTAGCAATGGGAGCGAAGCAGCATGGGACTTACGCTATATCCATACTGTGGCAATATGGGGACACCACCCGTACCTTGGAACACTACTAGGACCTTGGATAATGTCCGTAACTTGAACCATAACCTTGGACACAGCCCGCCCATAAGACAACGGTACAGGGGACCACTACCCGTACCTTGGATACTACTAGGACCTTGGATAATGCCCGTACCTTGTAAATAGTCCGTACCTTGGACCCTAAAAATATGAAACTCTTGTTTAAAATCAAACAAGGTCTAACAAACAAAATGAACCTACCTCGAATTACTTCCGAGGGCTCACTAAATAATAAAGAACATGTCCATTCTTCAATGTGACATTCTGGAGGACAAAAGAAAAGGGACGCCAACGTGCCAGCAAAATACAAATACAAGTTAGGTTGGGACATCCAAAACTCTACCCTAAAAATATGCGGTAATAATATCGAATCTAAAAGGATAATATTTCATCTTTACCTGTTGCTTTGAAATAGCAGCTGATTCAAATTATACAGCAAGATTTAAATAATCACCATTTCTAAAAGCCGGGATGCAACAGAGCCGCAAAACAAAGTGAGGTTAAGCACGGAGAGAGTTGACAGAAGCGATGTTGACAGCGCCTCCTCAGAGCGATAACAGGGTTGTGTCAAACGATAACAGGGTTGGCGACTAGGGAACGTAAAAATTACGCCAAGTGCGTCAATTAAATCATCCGGCCTGAACGATAGGGAATCCGGTAATGATACGCCAGACATCATATATCATATACAAAGACATGTAACGAACTAAAAACGTTACAAGATATCTTTACAAAACTAGTCTAATACAAATTTAAATATCGTGACTGTATTTGTTTTTACGCAGATGGCTCGAAGTCTGACCAAGGTGTTGGCTGTACTTTTTACAGCCCGGTTGCTAATAAAAAAATCAGATTACCTAATTTATCTGGCATTTTAACAGCCGAACTCACAGCTATTTATCAGGCTCTTATCCAAATTCGGAGCATGCCACCGATTGAAGTATTAAGACTATCTAATTCACTTAGTTCCCTCAACAGTATTGCTTCTTTAAACCCCAAAAACTGTCTAACCTGCACCATTCAAGATCAAGTATATAAACTTACTGAAAGAAACTGCAATGTTAACTTTATGTGGATTCCTGAACACTCTGACATTGCTAGTAACGACCGAGCAGACAAACTGGCTAACGAGGGAACGCTCTTACAGAATATTGAAGGACCTCCATCCGTTGTCGATTTCAGAAATTTCCACAAAAAAGTGTTCTTCAGTATACTTCAAAATGAATGGGAAAATCCTCGAGGGAACTAATAAACTTATATCACATATGCCACTTCTTCATCTGTATCAAAATATATATTCTCTTGAACGCGGATCTTTCTGTAAAGTTGTTAGAACACTCACACGACACTCATATCTTACCAAATCATATATATTATCAGAAATGAACCCCCTCTGAAATGCACCTTATGCAATAACTTAATGTCAATGAGACACATTCTTTTTGAATGCTTACCTGTTGCCTTTCATAGGTCTAGATTCTTTAATACTGTTACCTAGAGAATATTTTCGCTCCTTTTAACATTTCGAAGATTAATAAAGTTATGGAATTCTTAGACAGCTTCTCCCTCTCCCTCTCCCTCTCCCTAGTAGTAGTAGTAGTAACTTCTTCACAACATTTAGAGTGTTCTCAATTTTAATGTTATTACTACTTCATACTCTAATTGTCTGCAGATCTACTAAAGATACTGGAAACTTTGGATCTTATAAACATTTATTTAAGTCAACTGCATATTCATTTTTCTTAATATGATGTCATAAACTTCATCAAAGTTTATTATTTATGAATTACCTTCTTTTTATAAATGAAATCTTTTTTATAACATTTTATTTTTTGTTGCAGGAAACAGAGTTAAAGCCAGCAATATAGGAAGTGCCATCCACATGATTATTAGTCATAAGAATTTCCATATAAAAACAATAGGCCTTACTTATTTCATAATATCGCATTTAAGTGTCCTTTACTCAATAAGATAAACATAAACAAAACTCTTTCTCACATTTTAGTTTTGTTTGTCTTTTACTGAATATACTTTATAAAGTAAAATAAAAAGATAATTAATTAGTACTAGTTCCACTGAGAACTCTCATAGAAGGGCTATTTAAATATTGATGAAAGACTGTTTGTATTTCTTGTGTTTTGATTGTTTAGTTCGTAGGGATTATTTTTACTAGGTATTTTATTAAGAAAAGTAAAAGAAGAAAGAACATAGAGGAAGTAGTAAAAGGTTCTGTATTTTTAATAAAATCTAGTTTTACTCAAAATTTGTACTATTTATTCAAACACTGGAATAAATATAATTATTAATATGCATTAGTTTTTTTTTGTGTCTCTATAATTCCTATGGTAATTTTTGAGAAATCTAAATTGTTATTTTCGATTTTATTATTGTTTCTTATCTAGCATTTGTCATTATCAATTTTATTGCTATTCGTGTATCGCACAATGCTTTAAAAAATTGTTAATCTGTCTCGCTACTCCCACTTGTTTGTACAGAAAAGAAGTCGAAGAAATATTTATTTAAAAGAAATATTTGTGGAAGCGATAAACATGTTTAACTACTATTTTATGATAATTTATTGTTGGCTCATGTTGGCTCAAAAAGAAGTTTTGTTGAAAATGGTTTGCTCCACTTTAACAAGTTTTGAGTATAAATATTGTTAAGAAAGCAAGAAATACCATCAATGGTATACCATTGACATAACTTTTTGATAAATTCTAGACATTTGAGCGAGAAATGTTTCACCTGTGCCTCTTTTTTCGTAGTCTATTTTTTATTTTGAAAGTTGGCAACCCTATACTAGCAATGAATGCTACTAACAAAACTACTAAATAGTCGGAATCAGCAACTTGTCTCGTCTCTGCTCTATTATTTTTAACAGATAAGAGATCATGGCTAGTGTTGAAGATTGAACTTTTTCTTTGTTGATAGTATTACTTTTGTTGAAAATATTACTATTGCAATTAAAAACTTGTATTAAAACAACGGACGTATTACTAATAACTTTATTGTTCCGCCATCTTCTTTCGTCTCCTTTTGACAGACACACTTAAGGTCATCCCACACGTACAACAACCAAAGGCAACTTTACACATAAAAATAGGAAAACAGAAAACAATAAAAACACTGAATGACTATTAAACAGCTAGCCTCCTTTGTTCTGAAATAGGGTTAGAGAGATAAAAACTGATATTGTTGCCTAAGTTTTGCGACTTTTATTGAAAATACATAGATCTTTCAGCGTGTTTCGGCTGTGCTCAATATCAGTTTACGGACTATTAACAGCATCTCGCAAAAACTGTAAAGTAACAAGTAACCAATTAGAACTTTAGCAGCTTTCATTCAGAAAACTTGCTCATAACTTGATTTAATACAAATTTATTTGTGTAATAATCCTAGACAAAGTGTAAATTTATATGTAGACAAAAAATATTAACAGGATGTACTATGTATTGTGTCTAAAAGTAGTAAAAGTATAAAAGAAATAAGTAAGAAGCATAGACTTAATATAAAATGAGTCTATGGTAAGAAATAAGTATTTAATACAAATATTATTGTAAGCCTTTATTCTTCCGCAAAGGTAAAAATCTATAGGCACTAAGTCCGGCGGCCTCGACGGCCAACGGCTGGTACCTTGGTTAACTATTCAATTTTTCTTGAAATTGGCTGCAAAAATTTGCTGTCAACTTCAGCGTTCTAAGGTGGTGCCTTGTCTTGCTGGAAAAATATGTTTTCGAGTTCCATTAGGGGCAGATCATCAATAAGGGGTCCAAAGCCTACTAGTTAAAAGTGGCGAACTTTTAAAAATTCTGTATTTCGAAGGGGACTATAACAAAATATCAAATGTGCTATATATTTTTGGAAACTTAATTTTTAGTTCTTTTCAGTTGATTAAAAATATACAGTGTGTCCCAAATAAAAAATCAATTTTTCTGTTGATAACCTTAAATATAAGATAATTTTAAAAAAATTGTACTTAAACAATTACATAGACCGATATTTGGTTTCGTCTATATCCTATAGAAAAGGGCGTTTCCCTTTAAAAGCGTCCAATTTGGCTCACCCCGTACAAAAAACAATACCATAGTTTTAAACATTAATAAATATTAAAATAAATCATCGATGATTATTTATTGACATGATAATATGCACGTATCCGTTACTTTGGTAGCAATTGCATATTTTTTATTGTGGAGTTTGCACTCATCCATTATTTAATTATTTATACAATAGAACACCAAAACACAATAATTTTGTAAAAACAGCAACAACAGCTGTAATACTGCTTTTAAAAATATTATTTCAAAACTTTACATTAACTTAAGATTTTGTATTTAGGTATTCGGTTTTTCATAAATAATAATAAATATTTATTTTTGTTATGTCAGGAGTCAAAAGTTAAAACTTTAAAATACTTATTAAAAATTAAAATACCCTTCAACATATTAAAAACGAATAGACTTTAATATACAAGGCGAGTCTTAAATAAGTGCAAATATTTTTAGGGCTGATCTTGATAAAAGAAACACTTGCGTTTTTCAAATAAGTCCAAAATAACCGAGTTATTTTAATTTGAAAATTAAAAAAAAAATGTTTTTTTGATTAAATTTTGAGAACCAGCAGTGGTTTTTTTTCTGGGTTTTCTAATTGCCATGTTATCAAGAAATTAAAAAAAAGAGAGTATTAAATACATAACTATAAAAACTAAAAAATTTCCAAAAATACCAAATTAAAAAAAATGCGAAAAAAACTTCATAATCGTGTTTCTGGGGTCGAAATATACTACCCCTAAAAGTCCTTGCACATATTTAAGACTCGCTCTGTATTAACCGTAGAGCCTGGGAAAAAATATCTACATATATAAAATGCTAATGTTTATCTCTCTACTGAAGTAACGACTTGCTCTAGAAAGTTGCTTTTTTTAATAAAAGATAGCTAATTGGCTCTTCTAAAAACTGCCGTCGCCGGATTTTTTGTTTTTCATTTAATTTAAAAAAAATAAAAAGTATTTTTTTTCCTGACGTCGCACGGTGGGGTATTAGCATGAAAAAGGTGATCGAAATTCGAAAAAGCAAATGTGTTTAAGATTTCCCAAAAAAAGATAAATGATAAGTTAAATCATCTCTGCCATGAATGACGTTGCTATGGGTGTGTTTAGTTGCATTCATTTGTTTCAACGAAACGTCAAAGTTGTTACTTCTCACAGATAAGAGGTAAATGGCTAAATTTTATGTTTAAAATTATAAATTGTCGTTGTTCTTGTGCTCTTTTTACGTTTATATTATTAAAAAAGTAGAAAAAAGACTCAAAGTCTCTTTTTTTCTACTTTTTTAATTTGAACCAGGTCTCTTTGAGAAAAATGGATGCATTCTTTAAGTTTATATTATAGTTTTGATTGAAAATGGCTCAGCAAGCTGCAGGTATGTATTCTACAAAAACGTATTATTTATTTTGATATTCTCTATACTAACGATTTTTTTTGCAACTAAAAGTTAGGCGTTCAGAAAATTTGATTAAATTTGTGACATTTTTATTATACTTAGAGATTTAGTTGCGCATTTCGAAGAATTCAGCATATTGTCTATATACGTTTACTTAGTAAACATTGGGCTTTCGTACAGTAAAATAAAATACTGCGATTTTGCTGATAAAATGAGAAAAACATTCTTGGTTTCCTCTAATTTGCCAATCATTGATATACTAATGCGAGATGTAAACCGCGATGGCATTGTTGTGTACAAAGCGATCGCATTAGTGCCATTAGCAGTATAGCACAATTTGGCATTAGTAGCGACTTTAGTGGTATGGGCATTTCGCGGATCAGTCGTAGCATTAGTATTATGGTGCGTTCTGATATCATTAGTCTGTTCGTTCAAGTTGCTGTCTGATCAGTCGTAGCATTAGTAGTTTTAGTTGCGATATTACTACTGGTATTAATGGCATTGACCGTGGAAACACTGGAACAGTGATTTTTCTTTCTTTTTTAGAATCGACCAATTATCCTTTATTTTGTTCATATCATTTCCTCTTTAATTGAAAATAGCAATAATTTATATAAGTTCTACATAAAAAAATTTCGATCAACTACCTGTGTCAAATACCCCACTGTGCGTCGCGTCGTGGCGGATGCGCCACGCTTCACCTAGTTTATAATATAATAATAGCTCCCGTATAAATAGCGTTTAACGCCTTGGGAGTAGCAAGGTACAGCTTGCCATACTATAGCTGTTCGGTATACAAGTTGAGAAAGTTCGGAATTGTTGAAATATAACTGTATTATAACTAAAGAGACCCTGCGAAATTTCTGGAAATGAGTTCAAGATTCTAGGCAAAATTTTGTAAAAATTCCATTTTATTATTTGCCATATAACTGCCTCTCTCTAGCGGCTATTAACTTGAAATAGTTGCTTTCCGAGGTACAGCCCAGAGCTATTTTTAGTGGAACACCCTGTACAGAGTGGGCCAAATTGGACACTTTTAAGGGGAAACACACTTTTCTATAGGAGATAGACGAAAACTAATCGGTGTCTGGAACTCAATTTTTCTCAAAAATTAAAAAAAATATTTAAAAAAATATAAACTTAAACCATTAAATTCTACGTAAAAAGGTGATTTGGAAACGTTTTCTTAAAAATACAAAATTTACCATAGCAAAAAAGTTAGAGCGATTTATTAAAAATGCCACATTTTCTAAAAACACCCCGTAACTGGTACGAAATGATGACAGATATTAACAATGATTTTTGATAAAAAAAATGAGCTCCAGACACCGCGATGTCGTTATAATCTATCTCCTATAGAAAAGGGTGTTTACTTTTAAAAGTATTCAATTTGATCCACCCTGTACAATATAGAATTTAGTTGTCTCACTTGTCTCTACACTATTTTTTAATTATTTTTGTATTGTTTTTAGGTTCTATTTGTTCAATTACAAAATCAAAACAGAGCCTTTTTTGTTTTTTTAATTACTGCTTATAAATAGACACCAAATACCATGAACAAAGTTAAATAAATAAATAAAAATTAACTTTGTAATTTCCCAACAATTATACATATTTATTTTAAGTGCTTTCATTTTTTTATATACACAGAAATATAAACCTCTTGTCAACTGAATATTGTTGTAATGGTCAGGGTAAATATTTCCACACATTGCCAATTATAAACACTGCAAGTTTTACTATAAACAAATTTATAATTAACATAAAAATAGCAAAAGAAACAAAGGTTTGGAAAATTACTTAAAAGCAGTACCGTCATCGTATACTGAGTTATTCAATCAGCCGGACAAAATCTTTCATACATAGAGG